GAGTACAATATATATTTTGAATTCAGGGTGAGAAGATCTTTTTAATATAAGTGTTTTATGATGTAGTCATACATCATTTCTAACCAAAATGCTAAACAAAACACAATCCCTTTCTGAAACACAGATAATGATGGATTTTTGTTATTCTGTTTTATTCCATAAGATAATTTTTCAACCCAAACTTTTATTTTATTGATGGTATAAGAAGGTCCCAGTACATCTTCTTTCATATCTGAGACACTTTCATGAGAACTGTGAGCTAAAACTCAAATGTCATTACACAGAAAGAATTCTTGGATATGTGATCATTTATTGGGATAGTCCCACGTGATGGGATTAAAGAAGATTAAAAGGACCAGGTATGTTTTGTTGATTGCTCTGGCACTTGAAAACCCCTCTGATCTCAGAGTAGGAGTTTTGTGGGTATTATTATAATAATAACGGGGATCTTGGAAGACAGGAGGTGGATAAGCAGAAGGAAACTAAATCCAATAATGTTTGTACTGTCACAAAGCCAGGATGGTTTGGGATATGATTTAATCCTGTGGAGCAGACCTACCTAACACTCCTAAGCAAGAGAGAGACAAATAAATACACACAGTAAAATAGAAGCATATCTGCAAAGTGAAATCCCTCACCCTTCCCCAGGCAAAATATTGTTCTCCCTCAAGTCCAAAACTCACCAATAATTGGGCTGTGTGTGCCGAGCAAGAATCCCAACAAATCTCTGCCTCCTCCACTTTATAGCCTCGGCAAAACATGACATCCAAGGAACTGCCTGTGTTTTCTGTCTCTTTCCTTGTTTGTTTTCATGTGTACTACCAAAACAGACTGTGCCAGTACCTATAAGGAACCAAAATATTTAAGTGCTGACTACTGCAAAAATATGAAACACCTTTTTTAGTACTTGGTTCAAACAGAGGGATAAAGGGGGAAGGAAAGTGGCATTCCCACCACTCCAGTGTGGAGGATGAGTGGCTGCTCACTGCCTCACTGCCTTTGCAAATGCCTAACAGTGTCTACCACAAGATGGTTTCTCCCATAGTCTCTTGTCCCAGAGATTCCAAAGGTTGGTTTCACGTGCTATCATGACAACCACATCCATTTTCTCGGATCAGTTTAGCAGTTTAAAGTCTCTACTCCTTGTTGTCACCAGCAAATTCTGTCCTCGTGTGGGCTAAGCCAACCTCAGAGGCCACAGACCATCACATCACCTATGTGCTCTGCTCTGCACCCCTCTGACCTCACACTTCCACCTGCTCTACCACTTGTTTGTTGAAGAAGAGAGGTTTTCTCACAAGCACGAGTCCTGCCTAGCATTCGGTATACAATTAAAAAAATAAAAGTTGAAACATTTTTTTTTAAAAAAAGACCTTTCCTGAAACAGTTGATGTTAGAATAGTGGTGTGAAATTGTACAGATTTTATCACTTCTACGTGTTTCAAGAAAATGTGAATTAAAACCTCAATTTGTAACACGTGCTGTAATCCATTCTTCTCATGAAGTCAACAGAGCAACACCAAGTTAGACGAGCTGGGCCATGGCAGACACATCTGCAGCAGAGACCCAGGGCCTGCTTTTACAGCAGTTTAATAATAAATTAAAAAACCCCAGGCCTGTAGTTGTTCTTGTTTTGAGTTCTTACACTAACTACTTTGCCTATATACCTCCTGATGATTTTGGCTGTGGTGCCTAATCAGAACAATAGCTCAGAAGAAGCCAGCAGTCCTGGTTACAATTAGTTGGGACTATTTTAACTACCTGTTGGGTTGTTACAGATTTAAGAAGGACTGGCTGATGAGAAGAGGGTTCTGGCAAAAAACATGTCTGCTGAGTTAGGGAGGCTCTGGAATTATTTTTTTTTTTAGATTTCCCTTTTAAGTTCAGCATCATGGTTTGTAAAGGCTGTTTTAAAAACTTAAGATACACTCCTTCCCTATTTTTCATGCCCTTTTCTGACTCTCAGCTCTCCAAGGCAGTCCATATTCCTTACTTACACACAGTGGCCAAGACAACAACATCCTGTCCCTGGCTGCCCTCAGAGCTCAGTCAGAACAGAAATAAAAACAATCTGAAGAACAAGTGCATCGCAGAATCAGTGTGATCTTCCCCTAAATCCTGCATGAAAAACCTCACAAAATCCACAAGGGAAAGTTTGACTGCATTAACAAGAAAAAAAAAATTAAAAAGATCTGTGAAAGAAGGACTACTTAAAATAAAAAGCAGCAGAGACCAAACTCTGAGAGTCCAGGTTTTGAATGAGCTTTCATTATTCATTGACCCAGGTTTCTTCTTTATGTTATGTAGAAAGCAAAAGATTAAACTGATGCCAAAGGGAGTGGGGATGGGAGGGTGGGTGCAGTGGACAGACTGGCCCCACAGAGCTGGGGAGGGGGTGCTTTGACTGTGCTCAGGAAGAGGCTGCAGCACACTCAGAACTTCGCAGCACAAGGGTGCAGCAACTCAGCTAATTGGGGAAGATAAAAGGCAGGTTTTTATGAGACAGACACCATCATTATCGGAAATGAAGGATAAAAACTTGAGCAGCTACATCTTATTTTATCGCTGGGAAGTCTCAGAAGGAAAAAAGAATTATCAAAGTTTTTGATAGTTCCATTTAACCACAAGAAAACTATGTTAATGTAACCTTAAAGGTTTGACTAAAACCTATGAAATCAAGGCAACTCACAGTTCAGGCCTCAGCTTCCTCCCTAACCCACCTGTAGTGCCTGGACTTTGTGAGGCACAAGCACTGCCTGATTGGGGACAGTGTCACCTATATGGGCAGATTATACTGCTGACTCCTGTAACCCCAAAACCAACACCCAGCACAGCAAACACAGCCCTTAGAGCTACACATAAAGTGGTCTTACATTGTCTATGCTTTTCCTTTGTTTCATGTAATGAAAATACAAAGGCAATAAGCAGTTTCATCATAAACCAATCCAACACAAAAATTCCTTCTCCAAAGCATGGCCAGGCAGCAAGAAGCAGGTACTTTAATGGCCAAGTTTAAAAAGCCCTGAAAGTCTAAGTTCCTAATGAAAATACTGACAGACCCTTAACCACACAGCAGCGTGAGCAGGCGCCACCATAATAACCATTTAAGCCCTCTTTTCTGAGAAAGGCTTGGCCCAGCAGAGCAGGAGGAGTAAACAGGGCTGGTAACTTAATGACCTTTGAGCATTAGCAGATGGCCTTTTTACGAGCACAGATTAGCAGAACATGGGAGTTTTTAATGGCCACTAACAGGTGCCAAGGCTGCTTTTCCCCTCTCTATACCTACCCACAGCCAGTAAAGCACCAATCGGTCCCGCCCCATCCTTTATTTCTCTTTACACCCCAGCATCTTGGATGACACAGCAACATATGTCCTGCACCGTCCTGACAAAGCCGTAGGTTACAAAACCAAACAAGAGCACCTCACCTTTGGGTAATGGTGTTGCTAGATGAGTTGTCACCACTATATCTCACCTGAGGTGTGGCCAGTTCAAGGAGGATGATCAAAATGGCTGCCCCCTTCTTTCTGGTTCGAGGGATCCAGCAGGAAATCCCAGGTTCCAAAGCTGTTTGAAAGTAGGAAGGAGCCAAACAAAGCCAAGGCAGGGGATTCCCCTCTCTTATTTTTAACATCATGGTGTTCACCTGCGACAACCTTCCTGACCCCTTCCCAGCCCACCACTCCCACGAGGTCCCTGTTTCCCTGGCTCTACCCCATTAAAGACGCCCCAGTATCTTTATCAGCTGGGCCCACAGCAAGCGTCCAGTTCATGACTCAGCAAATAATCCCTCACCAGGACTTACCCTGGCCCAGGAGCAACTCCAAACAGCACCCAGACACATGCAAGCACCAAAATGACTCCTCTGCCTTTATCTCTGCGGGTGGGTAGAGAAAAGCCCTCACAATTAATCTCAGGTGCTCTGATTAGACACAGCTCAGGGGTTACGAGCCTCTCAGAGCCCGAAGTCACAGCGAGAGGCCTGAGGTGACCACGCCCTCCCCTCAGGTGTGGGGGGGTCACACACAGGTGTGCATCAGCAGGCACTGAGTGCGAAATTGGGGAAATTCGGGGAAAAACCAGCAAGAGCATGGCTGAAGAGCAGATCATGGCACCCTTCAGCCTTTGGGCTTCCCACTCTTGGCCTCTCTTCTCTCAGTCTCCCACTGCAGGCCTCCAAATCTCTATTAGCCGCCGCTCTCTTGGCCTCCCGCTCTCAGCCTCCACTCTCCTGAGAGCTGCCATATGTCAGTATCTTATTTTTCCGTAGAAAAAAAGATAACACGGTACAAACTCCAGATTTTGTAACGTGTGGTGGCAGTGCCAATCTTACAACTGTCAGGTTGGAGTCTCTTATTAGAAGGAACATATTATGGCTGGGATTTGAGGCAAAACACCGGGGAAAGAGACTGGAAAACTCAGGAAAAAAAAAAATTCCTTGATAGAACAATTAAAATTTGCCATGCAGAGAAGTTAATCATGTCCAGAACAGAGTTCCTGGAAAGCAGCACTGTGAGACACTTCATGCAAAGTACTGCAAGAAAACAGATCCCAGCCAGGACAGCATGAGGCAGGGAATGCTGGAGTCTGCAGAAAATGGTGCATTAAACTGTCCACCGTGTGAAATGACACAGGAGAGGGGACATGGAACACAGGGAAAACAAAATGGCAGCAGCAGCAACAGTGCCAGCTCTGGGCTCTCCTGGCACCAACTGCTGCTGGCAAACTCAGCCCAGAGAGGAAAAAGAAGGTTCATGGCTACGAATCCAGCCGTGGTGCACAAGTCAGTGTGGGGTCAACTCCACACATATTTTAATAGAAAAAAAAAAAAGGTACAATAAGGAAGTGAAAAAGTCAAAGATGGAAGCTCCCAGCAGAGCAGGGATGAAGGAGCCAATGCAGCCCCTCATCCTTTTGTACAGGTGTTTACATAGAGGTATAATATTAGTACCTTTCCCATTACCTAACAGAGAGATGCATCTGAAAGCTGGGCTAATGTCCAATGTGTTGGATATGTCCACAGGGTCATTTTCCTTCATACTCATGATTCCCTTTGGGGACTCTCACCTATAGCGCTGTTCGGATTGTGCAGCATTTCACAGGAAAATGCAATTTCTTGACAGTGTGGAGGCCCAGGGTCTGCACAGGTGCTGGCTGAACCTGAAGAAAAGAAGGATAAAAAATATAATCAGAGCTTCAAGAAACTTTGAGAAGAGTGTATTGCTGTGCAAAAGTGAAACAAAACATGAATTTGAGGTAAGAGAAAGATGTGCTAAAAGGCCCAATGGTCCAGTGACACAGAGCTTCAAAAGAAAAAGGAGTAACTTACACAGACGCCAGACCTGGCTGGAACCACTGATGTTTACAGACCACCCCAAAGAGAGGATTAAGTCACAGTCTTGAAACTATATTGTCAATATAGTGACCTGGGCTTTATGGGACAGATGTGGGGACCCACACCCTACAACCAAGCCGACCAACTCAGTCAGGATGCCCAGGAAGAGGCTTGGGGTAGCACCCTGCTGAGCCCTGACCTCACACAGCCCTGCAGAGGCAGCACCTTGGAAATGCATTACAGGAGAAGACCAAGCGTTTCATCAGCTTCCAGCAGGAAAAGGGAGAAAGCCCTCTGAAGTGGGTGTTCTTCCTAGGAACACCAGGCCAGAGGAGGAGGGTGGTTATGCAGCTGAGCTTGCGGACAAGACACAACCAGAACTCATTAACTCACCTCTGAGGTGCTTGGTGGTGCCTTCAGGGAGACCACACAGAAGCACAGAAAAGCCCGGAGACTAATTGAACACGGTTAATCATTAGGTGGTTTGAGATACATTTGAATTTCTTTAATTGTTCTCATGTTGTTTGTTGTAGTTATTTTTGGTTGGGGAAATGGTAACTTGCAGGAACTTTGAAAAGAGATATTTGGAATGGACTCATGTCACTCAGGGTTGGGGTGACACATGGCTAAGCCACCTCAGTTCCCTCCCAAGCCCTTCTAGTGACTCCCACCATCAGATGGCAACCTGCTCTGGTACATGCTCTTGAAAATGGACATCACAAAACAAATGAGACCTGTGCCTCAAGCTATGGGAGGCAGATTTCTGCTGGAATCCACAACATTTGAAAAATAATTTGTTTCATTAATGAAAACTGGCAGCAGTACCACAACCCTCCCAAATACCACAATATAGCTACAGAGTTGGAGGTCTAGGTTTTACCTGGCCTAAGACCTTATGAGCTGGAAATATGCTCAGAAACTTCACCTCTGTAAACGTGGATGGATTTATGTTTCCACATCAAGACCTGGTTAATGCAGTGGGTTTTTGTACATGAGCTGAAGAGCAAGGCCAATTTAGTGCAATGGTATAACCAATATAACCACATCAAAGACAGCAGAGAGACACTCATTTCCAGTGGAGGGTTCATTCATGTGACTGGTGTTTGCTGGAGATCCTGAGATTATGTGCACACTGAAATTTAAAGCGAAAGAGGGTGAAAATTAAGAGGACTGAGGCAAAGGGAAAGGCTTGCAGGAGCTTTTGCAAAGACAACACACAGAGGAGTTTTGTTCCAGACTACCTTGAATCTTTAAACCATTTCTCCCACGTTTCAGCTCTCCTGGCTCAAGTTCTGAACACTGAGACCCAAGGATCTGCTCTGCAGAGAGTTAATTCCTGGCACACAAATTCATTTGTGGTGCAAGTCTCCAGACATTAAGGGTGTTATCCTCAGGGACAAATTCGGCCACTGGCATCCGTATTCAGCCCTGGATGAGCAGGAATGGCTTCCTTGACTTGCAGAGCTGATTTGTGCCAGCTCTGAATTTGGCCCTGTGTCTTTCTCTTTGTTCCATGTATAGTTAAATAGACAAGATGAAAAAACCATGACTAATTAGACTGTTAAATTAAACTGCTTTAAATTTATTTTATGTGATGCATAAAGTTCATAAAAAGAGGTATCCAGAGTAGTATCAGTGACCTTTCTCCAGGAGCTGCAGTCCACCCGGATGCTTTTTTGAACCAATTGGCTGAAAACTCCTGGATTTCTTAACACCTTTTATTCCCTCTCTGCCACTTTCAAACCTGAAGGATTTATTTTTATCAGTCCCTCACCCACATAATGACTTTAAAATTCCTTAGGTTCATACCTTAAAATATAGCTGGGAATTAGAAGTAATGCCAATTAACAAGTCAAGGCTCAAAGGCACTGATGGAGTTAGCTTGCACTTCTCCCTGGAAAACTGTCATAAGTATATATAAGAATCTGCACACCTCAGGATTTCTGTTCGGAGTACTCTTTGAAAGCACCTTTTCTATGATATTTGCGGCCTCACCACCACCGTGGTGCCTATGGATTAGACAGCCCTGAGCCAACAGGGTAGCAGCAAACATGTGCCACCCCACAAGTGCCTCCCCAGGCAGTTGCCTCCCTCCAGGCTCCAGACTGGCAGCAGGTCCCAGCACCTCTGTTTGGACAGGCTTGGCTTGCAGGGCTGAGTTTGGACCCGCAGGTCGGTCCTCACCACACCAAAAAGGTAGTTTATGCGCTCCAGGTGTTGGTTGATTCCTGGATCTGAAAACCTGGAATTTCGAGACGGACAAAACCCCCTTATTTGATATGCAGACGTTCCTCCCACTCCCATTTACCAGGCACACAGATAAAAAGCAATTTGGTTAGACCTCGTGAGCCTCTGCTCCAGGATCTGGCACATGAAGGAGGCCAGAGTTTAGTTCCCAGGTCTGTCGGTGGCTTCAGGCAAGTTATTTCACTTTCCCCGATTCAGTTTCCTCCTCCAGTGGTGCTTGCAATACCAAATAGTGTATTTTCCCTACGGCCACTGAGTACTCTTCGTTTTTCTGGGAAAGCTGCTTTCACCCTTCAGGATCCCTGGTGGGGTAGGGGTGGCTGGAGAGACACAGGCGGCATCCAGGCACCTGAGGAGAGGGGCTCACTTGGGAAATTTGGGAAGTGGACAAGTTTTTTCTTTTGCTACCAAGACCTCCTTGCCTCCTCTTGCTGCCACCAGTTCCACTGTTAAAATGACCATCCCTATTTCACAGTTGTTAGGAGTGATACTGGTCATTCAGCTCCCAGTTCCAGGATCAGGCTTTCTTCCTGTATGTTGTCACCATCTGCTAAGCTCAGTGGCCAAGCCAGTCCAAGTCAAATTCTGCCTGCATGCACCTCCTGCAAGAGCTGCTGGTAGCAAAGTTCAGTCTCTTCTGAAAGAAAACCTCCATGAAAACTCCTCATACCCTCCCACATCACTAGCTGGGCAGGACAGGAGTGTGTCCTTGTGGCACTGGGACGAGTCACATGGTCTTTCCATGCCTTGGGAAGACAACTGGGGAGGGCAGATGGCTTTTCAGAAGCCTAAAATCATATATTGTGGCTTCGGCATCCCCTGCTCCTGCTGATGCTGCACTTCCCTGCTTTGTGCTCCTTTATTTGGGAAGGATGCATTCCCAGCAAAGGTGTGAATAGCACTCCCTTTGCAGCTAATCCTGACAAGCCAGCGGCCCAAAGCACAGTGTATTGCTAAGCAACACTTGGCAAAATCCATGCCAGGTTGTGTCGGTCCCTTTTGATGTTTCACAGAAGCATTGTCATTTCCATCTCTGGCATTGTTTCCAGCATTTTGGGTGTCAGTGTTCCTGAAAACCATCACAGAAAGGATGTTTATTGAACTGTCAGAGGGTGAATGATTGACACTAGGCACAAGTACTTTTCATGTTCAGGTTTTGGCATGCCACAATTGGATTATTTCCTGATAAATGCCATCCAATTCTACCAGATGGACCACTGAGAGATATGCCAACCTGTGTGAGAAATGGAGTAGATGCTCAGTGCCACTTATTGGTAGATGTGTGCTTCTCCAGTCTATCCTTTTGTGTAGCTGCAGGGTATTTCACTGAAGCAGTGACTTTTGTGATGCTCATAATTAGAAGAGCAAGGCAATTTTCATTGTTGAGAAGGGTGGATTTCAATGCCCAAATCTGATTTCATTCACCTCAGAGTGGAAGTGCAATACCTGTTCTTCTCCTCTCAGATTTAATGTGTTCTCTGCGATCTGAGCATTAAAGAGCCATGAATTTTGAAAGTCAGGTATTTCTCATATATAAATAATTTCAATAAACCCATCCTCTGCCTTCCCGTTCATCTTTCCTAATGGCTCATTTACAGATCCGAATGCAATACAAGGATTGTGAGGCAGGTAAAACATCTAAGAGTGAATACATTAAATGTACAATCCAAAGTTGATTAAACAGCTGAATTAATTTCATTTAAACTCAGCTGGAGAGATACCTGTGGTCTCAGGACGACGGAGGGACAATGACAGCACAAGGGGACAGGGTGCCCCAGGGATGGATACCCACACTGTGGTAGGTGTCTGCCAAATTGCTCCTGGAGGTATGGAGGGTTGTAGGGAAGAGGGATTACATAGGAAGAGCTTTTTCATGGACACAGGGGACTACACTGAGCAGAGGGGAGAAGGCAGGAACCATCTCCCACACCCTCACACAGGCACTGGGTGAGAAACTGCCACGGGGCACAGGAGCTTTGCTTGTTGGGTTTCAAGGGGGAGAGTTGCCTTTTCCTATTAGTTAGGGGTGATGCAGGAGGAAATCCCTAATTCTGCAGGATGGAAAGTTGCAGGTCTGTGAAAACACGATTTTTCTCTCTGAACTGACCCACTAGCGAGACAAAAGAAACATGAAGTTATCTATTCCTGTAGTCCTCGGCACTTTAATATATACATAAAAAGCAGGGCCTTTGTACTACACCTAATGAGCAGAAGTGAATAATGTGGTATAATTAGCTTCCCTTTCTCAGCCTGCTCTCTCCGATATCTCAACACACTTCTGACAACAGCATGGTACAAGTGGTGACTGGTGCCTACATCTCAGATTTACCATCACTTCATTGTTCTGCGCTCACACATTTTTCATCTCTGCCATTATGAGGGCCTCTCTCCGCCGCACTTATTTCTGCATTTTAGCCGTTGGCTTAGTCACTGCCAGCTAAAATGAAACATAGCTCCACCAGAGGCTTCGGGGAGGAGCGGCTGTTATTGCACTGTCCCCTCTCCAGGGACCTGCGGTCAAACCCTTGGGTGCACACGTGCACACGACACCCCTGAAAAACGTGGCTGACTGACAGCT